GAGAGAAAGGGAGAGGAAGAAGAAGAAAAGAAAGAGAGGGGGGGGGAGAAAAAGGTAGAGGAAGAAGAAGAAAAGAAGAAAGAGGGGAGGAGAAAAAGGGAGAGGAAGAAGAAGAAAAGAAAGAAGGGGGGGAGAAAAAGGGAGATGAAGAAGAAGAAAAGAAAGAAGGGAGGAGAAAAAGGGAGAGGAAGAAGAAGAAAAGAAGGAGGGGAGGAGAGAAAGGGAGAGGAAGAAGAAGAAAAGAAAGAAGGGGGGGGAGAAAGGGAGAGGAAGAAGAAGAAAAGAAGGAGGGCAGGAGAAAAAGGGAGAGGAAGAAGAAGAAAAGAAAGAAGTGGGGAGAAAAAGAAAGAAGGAGGAGAAAAAGGGAGAGGAAGAAGAAGAAAAGAAGGAGGGGAGGAGAGAAAGGGAGAGGAAGAAGAAGAAAAGAAAGAAGGGGGGGGAGAAAGGAGAGGAAGAAGAAGAAAAGAAGGAGGGCAGGAGAAAAAGGGAGAGGAAGAAGAAGAAAAGAAAAAGAAGTGGGGAGAAAAAGGGAGATGAAGAAGAAGAAAAGAAAGAAGGGGGGGGAGAAAAAGGGAGAGGAAGAAGAAGAAAAGAAGAAAGAAGGGGGGAGAAAAAGGGAGATGAAGAAGAAGAAAAGAAGAGGGGAGGAGAAAAAGGGAGAGGAAGAAGAAGAAAAGAAAGAGGGGAGGAGAGAAAAGGGAGAGGAAGAAGAAGAAAAGAAAGAGGGGAGGAGAAAAAGGGAGAGGAAGAAGAAGAAAAGAAAGAGGGGAGGAGAGAAAAGGGAGAGGAAGAAGAAGAAAAGAAAGAGGGGAGGAGAAAAAGGGAGAGGAAAAGAAGAAAAGAAGAAAGAGGGGAGGAGAGAAAGGGAGAGGAAGAAGAAGAAAAGAAGAAAGAGGGGAGGAGAGAAAGGGAGAGGAAGAAGAAGAAAAGAAAGAGGGGAGGAGAGAAAAGGGAGAAGAAGAAAAAGAAAAGAAAGAGGGGAGGAGAGAAAAGGGAGAGGAAGAAAATGAAAAGAAGGAGGGGAGGAGAAAAAGGGAGAGGAAGAAAAAGAAAAAACGAGGGGAGGAGAAAAAGGGAGAGGGAGAAGAAGAAGAAAAGAAGGAGGGGAGAAGAGAAAGGGAGAAGAAGAAGAAGAAAAGGAGGGAAGGGAAGGAAGAAAGGGAAAAAGGAAAGTATGAATTCCGAGAAAAGGAAGGGGAAGGAGATGAAAGGGAAGAAGTAGAAGATGGTAAGAACCAAAAAACAAAAACAAAAAAAAAATGATGATAGAGGTAATAAAGATGACAATGATAATAATAATAATAGTAATAATCATGATACTGATGATAATTATAATAATAACAATAGTGACGATAATAATAATGACAATGATGATGGCAATAATGATAATGAAATAATAGTAATAATGAAATTATAATGATAATAATAATAATGGTAATAATAACAAAATAATGATAATAATAATGATATCAATTATAGTAATAATAATAGCAATAAAACAACAACAATAACAGCAATAACAACAAAGTTATAACAATAGTGATAACGATTAAAATAATAATGAGAGAAAAAGAAAACGAAAACGAAGACAAGAAAGAACAAGAACACGAGAAAGAGGAAGAAAAGAAACAAGAAAGGAAGAGAATAAAAAACAACAACAACAACAGTAAGAAGGAAGAAAAAAATGAAATAGAAGAAGAATCAAGAATGAAAGAAGAAGAGATAGAAACAACAAGAAGAAGAGCAAGTAGAGGAAAGCAAAAAGGAAATACGGGGAAGGAGAGAAAAAAAGAAAAGAAGAAAATAAAGGAAAAGGAAAGTGAAAAGAATAAATGGAAAGAGTAATAGTACAGGAATAAGAATGATAAGAATAAGAAAGAGGATAATATGATGAAGAAGGAGAAGCGAAGAGGAGGAGAAAAAGACGGAGAGGGAGAAGGAGGAAGAGAAGGAGAGGAAAAGAAGAAGAAGAAAAGGAATAAAAAACGGGAGAAAGAAAAGGAAAAGAAGAAAAAAGACGATAATGAAGAAGAAGAAGAAGCTGAGAAAGAGGAATGATAACAAAATGGCGACAAAAAAGAAAAATAAGAGAAGAGAAAAAAATAAAGGAGAAAGAAAATTAAAACGAAATTAAAAAAGAAGAAGTGAAAGAACAACAACAACAACAACAACAACAACAAAGAAGGAGAAAAAGAGGAAGAAGAAAAAAACATAACTAATGAAAAAAACAGCGATATAGCCTTCGTTCCGAGCTCGGCTGCATCAAAATATGTAAATCTCCTGCTGTTAAACTACGTATCAGAAAGAAAGGGAGGATTTTCATTGTTCTTTTTTTACAAGGCATTTAAGACGCTCTCGTGTTCCTCTCGCGCTCGAAACGACTTGTTTACAGTCTGCAAGCGTTGTTTACCGGCCGGAGTTAAAGGGTTAAAGATGGCTGAGATTATGCTTTCGGTGTGGGCTGTGGCAAAATATATATTTTTATTTATATATATATATA